GCAAAGCCATGCAGCCACTGCTTCCAGTGCAACCGTCTGTCCCCAATCTGCACATGCTCGCAATGAAACGTTTAAGGTTGCAGACGCTGCGGCTCTGTGACTTTCTGATCGGAAGAGGGAATTAATGACTTCCGAACGACGACGCGTCTCACACACCGGAGTTTCTGCCCTTTGAATGAACCCAGTTACTGTCCTGCTCGCCTTCAGCACAAACAAATGGTCGTAAACCAAAGAGATTAATATGTAGATGCAACGAGGAGAGTGCAGAGATCTCATGATTTTAAATTGCCCCAGTTGTCTTGTCCAATGTATGACCTGTTGTTACCATCTCTCACTAGTAGCCAGGTCCTCACACAGCGGGCCCTCCCAGGTGCAGTCAGAGCCACTGCCACCACCTCTGGGCTGCTTCCAAACTGCACACAGCCAAAACCAGCTTTCAGTAAGGGTGGATGTAAATTCTTAAGTAGCCTTACTTTAATAATCGACTGGCTTTATTGGTTAGATTACTGTAATTTCAAAATTTCTGTGTAGTTCTAAACATATAAATTGTTCTTTTATATGTTTAGAACATATAAAGTCTGTACAGGTGGGCCTTTGTTGTATCGTTCGTCTTTTATTCTCATACATTTCTTACAACAATAAGAATTTTGATCAACTCTTGTCACAATAAATTCCAGTTATTAATGTTTTAAAAACTGCATTGTTGAGATTATTTGTACTATTTTCTCCACTGTTTGTTCAATGGCAACATCAATAAATATACCAATAGATTTAAAAATATGGTTAAATGCTGTTACTCTGTGCAATTTAGGGATACAAAACACACTTCTTTATGTGAGCGGTGTCCTAAAGAAGTGTATTACAAAAGGAGAACGTTTTTCAGAAGCAACGTTTGTTTTTGTGGGGCTTTGATTGCTATGTTATGGAGTCACAGGGTTACCTAAAAATAAATAGTTATCACAATAATATCACAAAATACTGCGATAAACCTAAGTCCATATCGCCCACCCCAACTTTACTCATTTGTGAATTCCACAATTTACATCTGTCCTATATTGCAATGGCTTCCAGTCACCAATCATGCAAACTAGATGATGACATAGCATCATTTAGCAGCCTTTGTGATTTTTAGTAGTGCTAGTAGCTACTTTTCTTCTTGAGCAGTTAGCAACAGGGGTTGAAGTATTGAGTTGTGTTAAAAGGGTTTGATAAAGTTGTCTGGCAGGATAGAAGTATTAGACAAACAAAAGAAACAAACAAACTAACAACATGCAAGCACTGTTAGCAGGAATGGCTACTACTGTGACTAGCTAACCGCTAGCTGCTAAGGCAGCCAAAGCTGGCTATTTCACAAGTCTTGAAGAAGTATTTTGTTGTATATCTCTGAAAATCTAAAATATTTAAATGGCTCACACCTGATGTGGATAACTCTACACCAAACAGAGATTATTTTAAGCACAATTTGAGATTCGTGAAGCCTTTATGCTACCTGCTAACACACAACAGGGAGTTTTTCAGGAGCACAAGAATTGGACAGGAATGAAAAACTACAGTACTTGGACTACTTCTTCATAAGATAATTTAACTACTGAACTGCAGATGGATTTTGGAGCTTTTTACTTTTTAACTCAGTCTGATTAAACTGACTGCCATACAGAAGAGTCAGATATTAGACAGAGCGCCATTTGTACATAAATTGAGGAAAAGTTTCTATTCTGCTCAGACATTATAATTAAATCAAACATTTTTTTAATTATTTTTTCATACTTATATCTTACATCCAATAAAATCAAAACGCTTATCTATGATTTTCCTGAGCTGGAGTCCCTTCGCGTTAGACGTCTTTTTTAATGTATAGCAACAATCACACTAAGTGACCCGGCGCTGATTGCACTGCAGTCAACCCATTCTCACCCATGCAATAAACAATTCCTTATAATTATAATTTAAATGGCCGCTAAAGCATGATCAGGGCATTACAAGTCCTCTGCCACGGCCCCCTAAATGGACAGATTTCAGCAGACGCTCGCTGCTGTGATCGGCATCATTATATTTTAATTAATCCATTCTTCTCACAGCAACACAGTAATTACAATCTATTTTATGATACGGCATGCTGGGCAAGAGGAGATGGAGGGGAGGAATAAGGCATGGAGAGAACATAAGGTTTGAAAAGAGGAAGGTGGGGAAAGCAAACGAGAAGGAGAGGCGACGGCGGACAGTTGGAGGTGAAGAAAGGGAGATAGTGGATAAAAAAACCCACTCCTAACATCATGATGGATGACGGATGTATCATTGCCCCAGTGGACACTGTAAAAGCATTTATTCAGTGGCTTGCTCAGTCTGCATACGATGTGAGGGAGACAGCGCGCGCTGCTTCTCTAAATCCTTACAGGTACACTGAGGCATGCTGGGAGTGTGATAACAGCATCTGAATATTACGAGATCCTCTGTCGTGTCATGAAACAGACTGTGGGATTAGGAGGTTCAACTGCTTCTGTTCAGGTTTTTTCTTATATATTAAGCAGCTACAGAATGGAACCCGTCGTGTGTTTCTGTACACTTCAGGTTAGATTAAAATACAATCCAAGCCAGATAGAGACCAGATCATCTTCAAACCCTGGAATTAAAAACAAGGATTTACTTTCCTTTTTTCTTTTATCATGGCTGCACGCTACTCTCCTCATTCCTGCAGCAAGAAATCATAAATTTTATACTGAACCAAAAACATTTTATTTTCTACAAAAATGCAAACAATATAATCTGAACGGATGAGCTGACGAACGATCAAAAAGCTTAAGCGAAGCTGAAATCGTTCCAAGGATTACATATAAAAGCGAAAGTGAGTGAAAGTTTTACTCAAATCTTGGTGAAGAAGATTAAATCTAAGCAGAACTAACAGCTACAACTGGTCTGTCAGATGTTCAAAAGCCTTTCAAATGCTTTCAAACTGAAGATGAGGTGGAGAATACACACTTAAAGTGTGAGCAGTACTTAGAAAAGCAAAACTGCTGCAGAAATCCTTCATCCACTGTTTATTTTCCAGGGTCGTGGGTTGCTAGCGTTAGCTCCAATTTACCTAACGAGTGTTTTCGCGTACCAACGGTTCACATGGAAACTCCATGCAAAAAGGAAACCGAGACCTGGATTCAAACCCAGCAAAGCAACAAGGCAACCAACAACCACTGTGCAGTGCTGCAGAAATCTGTTAAATAATAAAAATGATTTAAAAAAAATTAATTAGTTAAAGCAAAAGTTAATACAATGGTGCACGTGGTTTTTAGAAGTTAAAGTCAGGTTTAAACTAGAGTTATAATGAATTTAAATTTATTAATTCCATGGAACAGTTCTCATTTTTTATACTTAAATTATTAAAAGTAAACAAGTATTTCTTAAAAATAGAGGAATAATTAAACAGTGTTAAAGGTTCGATATTAAAATAGTTGAAATAACGCAAAATTTGTATGTAGGTCAAAAAATGTATAGAAAAGCATCTGCAGCGGGCGCTCTCGCTAGTTTAAATGCTTTTTCTCTAATTAATGAAGTAAATCTTCTCTTATGATCAAGAAAGCATTTTCCCATTGACCACTGCTATAAAATATACATTAAGCAACCGTTAATAGGCTCACAAATTCAAAAAATTAATAAATAAATCTTCAAAATATTCTTTATAACATTTCCCTACTTTCATGTGTAAAATTGTATCAATAAAAGTAATTACTTTGTATGACTTCGTGTGCATTTTGTCCCACTCAAACCTAAAAAAAAAGAAAAAAAAAAAAAGAAAACACCAGGCGGGAACCTTTGGTTGCAGACAGACAAACTAAAAAAAATAAATAAATAAATAAATAAATAAATAAAAAAGTCTGACTCCTGTGCCAAGCCAGCAATTTTCATTTAATGACTGGGCAGCATGTTTGAGTCTGGTTTCCAGTTATCAATACGTCCAAGGGCAGAAGTTTGCTCAGGAGAAGCCTCTGGAAGCCGGCCAATCAGAGCAGCAGCACGGGCTGGATGGGAAGGGGAGCCGTAATGAGTCTCAAACAGAGGCTGCACAGTCGAGCACCGCTAACAGCTTGTAGAGCGTAGGTAGACGGTCCTTTTATACAGAAAATACTGCAGATGTGCTGTAATTTGCGAATATTAAATAAATGCACAACTAATGAAAACCACAGATTTCACTAAATGGAAACTCCTTGTCAAAAACGGTTACGCATTAAGTGCGTCTACATAAAAAAATAAAAAAATAAATAAAAAAAGCCGCTGTCTTTATGCTTTTAAACAGCAGGAAGTGATGCGAAGCATTAAAGAACGGACACAGCGAGCTGCTGAATGAAGAGCTGCAGGTGACAGGAAGCACACGTCCAACATCTCAGCAAGGCAACTGGCTCCGTTTGCTCTGCCCTGCTGATACACACACTTACACACACACAAGCACACACACGCACACCCCCTCACCCACACACACACACTCACCACCGATGTGTGAAGTCCAGATCGGCTCAGGGTTGCTCACAGAATAATGAGAAACGGTCTGCAGCCGACCGGCTGCTTCGCAATAAGTTTGATTCGCTACCTGAAGAATTCGGTGACCTTTGAACCGAAACGGGGTTACCTGGTTTTTATCAAACATAGCAAGCAGTACGTAAAACAGCGTTGAAAATGCATTTAGACATCATGTAGAGATGATGACAGTAATTTTAGACTTTATTCCCCACTACATGCAACTTTCTACATGCTCTCTGTAGATGCATTTCTATTGAACATAGTCTTGTGCAAACTGAAATTACTAAAAAAAAAAACATTTCATTAAGCAAATTTGCTTAATGAAAACACACAAATTTTGGACATTTTGATAAGTTTTCGAGATAAGATGAGGTTGTTTTTCAGCTATATTAAAATATATGCACTTTGCAAAATTGTGACGGAAAAACTGATTTAATGTCAGCACAGATAAAGCTGGATAACTCCTAGTTGTGTGTGAGGTGTTATTACAATACCTGTGGTGAACATGGTATCCTGCTGCATTGATGGTCCAGCCCGGCTCTTCGGGGTCGGGGATCTTTGCCGTCATGGCGATCAGATGCTGAACGTCCCTCCATGTCATCAGTGGACTAATGCAAGGAGACGTAGCAAGAGGAAAACATTAAACATGTTGGTTTCTCTAAAACAGAAATGCACAAAGGGAAACACTTAAACTCCATGTGGTTCCATAAAGGGGAATTTTACAGGGAACAACAAACAGGTTTCTGTGGATGGATGCTGAAGGACCGCTTTACACGACTTAAAGCACAATTCATCAGGCTCACACACAGAGCTCATACTGTATCACCGTAAAGGTTTATTGACGCGTAAGCTGCTGCAAAGAGACACTACGGTAGCTTTAAAAGCAGGTCCTCCATACATAAAAAAGGCCCTCTTTACGTTAAGCCTACATTTACGATAATGGTGTCACTAAAAGCTGTGAATCCAACAGAAAAAAAAAAAATTGATTCTTAACAAAAGAGTCCAGAGAGCCAAATGCAGCAAAAGTCCTCTTTTTAATCCCAGGCAGGGGAATTCTAATAGAGCCGACTCAAGTGTCATGTCAAGCAATATACTAATGGAATCCAATTAAGACCTTTAAACTGCGCAGAGAGCTGGAGGATATTAGCTCAGTTTTCTATAACAAAAGACCAAAGGGTCGTCAACGAGATTTTTTTTTCTCCAGCGTATAAAAAGCATAAAAGAAATTGGGTTTTTTCTCCTTTATCCACTCATTATTGTTCTCTAAGAAAATGATTTGAATGGAGTGAAGGAAAAGTGTTCAGCTGCCGACTCTAAGAAGCATTTTTTATTTTTTTTTATTTCTGAGGAGAAATGCCACCGATCTCTGCCTCAACATGTGTACACAGACACTTTTTTTTAGCACAGTGGGAGACAAGGAAGACTCTTAGAGCTGTACAACACAGTTACACCTAACTTATTCTATTATTAATGTTATAACTTCATTCAGCGTCATGTGTTCAACGCCTATGAAGTTTGACATTTTGTTATATTTTAACCACAAATGTTTTACTTGGATCACTCAAGTTGCGCATAATTGTAAAGGGGAAGAACATGTTGTGCAAAGAATTAAAACAAATAACTAAGATTGCAAAAAAAAAAGAAGGAACTATGAATTTATAGACTGAATGATTGAGCCATAAATTTGTATTCAGCTGGATTGAATCAATACTTTGGAAAACCAGGATTTGTTGTAATTACAGTTTAACATCATTTTTGAGTAGACCTACCAGGGTTTTTCCAGCCAGTGACTCAAATCTTTACCTACTCTGTCGCAGAATACTCAAGTTGTAAACAGATTCTGTGTGAAGATCAACTTTCAAGTCTTGACATCAATTCCCACCTTGATTTAAGTCTGTACTTTGACTAGGAATCACAGTTCCTTTACATCAGGATTAAAAAGCCACATATTTAGAGTTGCTTTTGAACCTTAATAAATGGAATATTAACCAACATATTTGATGTGAATTGATGATTTTAATGATGGCACTTGACAAAATGTCACGTCTGTTATTAGTTTTCACAACTGTTAATGATTGACGTGTTTATGATGTTTTTTATGTTTTCACAATGTAAAGCACCGTGAGCTGCCGTCTTGCTGAAATATGCTTTACAAATAAACTTGACTGATTCATAGGCTAATCTGGACACAAATATACTTTGATTCAGCCTGGCTGTTGCCTTCCTATGAAATTCTACTTAATTCTCATCTCCCTTCAGTGCTTGTTATGGAGTTTCTCACATGGAGCTCGATTTCTCTAGCAGAATTTCAACTGGGTCAATCAGCGAACATGAGGAAGAGTTGTGATGTCGATTGTGACCCTGTTTTAGAATCGTAGTCTGCCTGTAGTTTTAGCAGTGGCAGCAGAGGAAGATAAAGTCATTCGTTCTGTTTGGGCAACGCTTACAAATATTGATCCAAAGTCACTTCATTGCTGGAAAAGATGTCTTTCTACTCAGCACTTCTCTCTTTGCAGTGGAGGATGGTTGTTTACAGCGCACAAATTTTCCAGTAGGCTTCGTCGCATAGCTCCTTTCATGGTCGAGCTGAAGCATTGCATACGTCACTGCCAAATGTTAGCGATTGGGTAAAATCAGATCCAAATGTTTAAAACTTCAACAGAGTCCATAATTTCTCAACAGTTAAAGGTACAGCCTCTCTGTACAAAGCAAACCTCCAGAACAGAGGGTTGTAGCTTTGGTTATGCTACAATGGTTTAGATCAAGGTAGCTTTGACCTAAACCATTGTGTTGTAGCTCTGGTCGCTTGTTTAAGGTTATTGTTCTGAGGAAAGGTCAACTTTCAACACAGAATCAACTCTTTTGCAGCCTTTTCCTCCAGGCTTGTTCAGTATTAAATACCATCAATCTTCCTATCCTATCCCACAACATGATTCAAGCTGGGAATCATAATAATAATAATTTACAGAAAGAACAAAAAACAAAACCAATGTACCATTTTTCCTTTTTTCCCCTTTTCATCCCAAAAAGTCTCAATGAAATACGTGAGAAAATGTATAAAAGTTGAAGTGGTAGGAATGATTTTTAAAGCCAGAAAGTGACATAAACAACTTCCTCTACATATGCGCTCGTTCACAGTTTTTGTTCAGTGGCAAAACTTTCTAATCAGATGTGAAGAAAAGACCTTGTCAAAAGAACAAAATAACAAGTACCCTCTTCATTATTCTGTTAGACATTTCAGAACGTACCAAGCACAGACATAAACATGCAGATTCCATTCACGTATTTGAAGAAAAAAAACAAACAAAAAAAAAACGAAGCAGAACAAAAGTGAGGAGAGAAGCTTTCATTAGGAGAATAAAACAAAACCCCAGCAAGAAGCAAGAACAGGCAACTAAAACAACATGATAGGAATAATACCAGTAACTCTAATAATAGATGGATGGAACGAAACAAAACACAAAGCACCAACAATTATTTTAAGCTTTGATTTCAAAGGGATCGTAGAGTGTGCGTGTGTATGAGGGGGGAATACGCTTTGTACTTTTGAACTGTTGCTGCTCGCTGCGCGCGGCTACGTGCATGCATGCGCGCGCCGCGTGTTGTATATTAGCGGCAAGCAGCGTGATTCTGTTGTGTGCACTCCCCCACCTCTATCGTAAGCAGCACCACCACCATCACCCCTCTGGTGGAATCAGAGAAAGCCCCGCGGCCCCGGCTGGTTTGCATAAAGCAAACAAAATTAAATTTGCTTTGCTAAATCAAAGCATGTATGGTATTCCGAGCCGCTCTCTCTGGGACAAATTACTTCAAACGGCCTCCTTTGTATCATAACAGAATTAGAAAAAAATAAAAAAATAAAAAATCAGCCCAATCAGTGGCACTCCAAAACCCTCGACTCAGGAATTAATTATTGAACCGAGGGCTTTTCTCTCTCCTGGCAGTCAGTGACACAGATCTATTTATTTTGGAGAAGTCGTTTTGCTCTTAAAAGCACACTGTTGGCTGAGAACGTAGCTATCCGACTCGCTCGCTCAGAGTTCTCTCTCCTCTTTGCAGCACAACCCCTGAAGGGACATGTGAATAGGTTCAGACCGCAAAATTAATCTGAAAACTCCACAACCAGCATTTACCGGAGTGCTGGTTAAACAGAAGAATTACTTATGCTGTAATGGACTCTGGTTGAACTGAACCATTAGCAGAGTTTTTTCTTTTCTTTTTACAAAAGGTCCTCGTTTGACAAAAAACACTGGAGTGAGACGAAAGGATTTATGGCTTTAATTATTTACTGCCGTTGACGTGACTCGAGAACTCAACTTTGATTACTTGTGGCATCTTATTTGAATATGAAAACATTTATAAAAAAAAAAAAAAACAAACTGCTGCTGTTTTTGTGAAGAAACATTTTTGTCTTTTTAAAGAAAAGTCATTCACAATTCCCCGTGCTGGGAAAAAGTATTTTCCTTCTCAAAGATTTTTTTCTTTCTGCTTTCTGGTCACGTTTAAATGTCTCAGATCAAAATGCAATGTCAGGAAAAGAATACAAAACATTGGATGGGAAATAAAAGTATCCAAACCAACCGAAGCCTACATGAAAAAGTAATCATCCCCTAAACCCAAAAGCTGCTTGTGTCTCTATCGTCAGCAGAAACTAACATAAGCATTTGTAATGACTGGCAACAAGTCTTATCCATTAATATGAAGGAGATTTTATAAAATATGAAGTCCTGTCATGATTCGACTCATTACAATCTTGAAAACTTAATGTATGCTGGTGATCAATGGGGTGGAAATCACAGTGTTCTGCTGTGATTTACTTCATTTTTTTAAATTGTGATATAAACAAATCCTATACAAGTCTAAGGAATAGGATTAGGATAAGATGAACTGAAATAAAGCAAAATATGCAAAGAGAGAAAAGAGTCCAGTGTAATCCTTTGGATATTTGTGGTGCTTTTGTTTGGAAATCAATCAATCGTTCTGCTGGGTAATGACCGGGTGTGTTACTTTTTTGTAATGAAACTGGTTTATTCCCCAAATTGACCGCCCCCCCAATTGGTCATCCAAAGTGCCCCATTTGGCTCTCATTGACCTTGACGTGCAACGGAAGTTGTGTGATTTTCTTTGCAAAGAGCATGACCTCGACACCAGGCCCGGGATGAACTATTTCAACAGAGCTCTGAGCGAAGTGATTGCTCAGACATTTGTTTGTTGCCGTGTTTTATGCAAATATGCACTCGCACAGCAACGTTGATATCTCTCTTCAACTACTCCGCTTCCACTATCTGTTGTCACCAAAGCAATGAGTCATTATCATTACTTGCAGGGTAGCTGGGAGTGGAGGGTGGGGGTTTAGGGAGGCCATCATTGGGGGAGAGGTAAGAGACATCCTGGACCAGTCGCCAGTCAATCACAGACCAGCTTCACATTCAATTTTTATAACTGCAAATGTAAAGTAAGCAAAGTGTCTGTTTGATGCAGTGTTGGGTGCAATTATGCCATCATTGAGTTCATGCTGCAACATTTGAATCACAGCTATAGTGAAGTTGTAGCAGTAGCACACATGGGGGTTTCACAGGTGTTTGACACCTGCTGTGAAATTTGTTGA